CCCCGGCAAAAGAGAGTTTCTTGAAAGGGAAAGTTGCACTAACAGCAGCACAACGCCCCTGCCCGCAGAGACCTGAAGCGCACAGCCGCGGTGCTCGTACCATCGCTGATCCGAAAGCAGGGCTGTAAGTTCGCTTCTTTCTGCTTACGGGGAGGCCAGAGGAGGTGAAGGGGAGCAGACTGTCCCTGACCGCACTATCAGAGAAATAGATGGCATTTTATCCGATGAACTGGGGTGAAAAATAAATGGGAAGAAGGTTGCCACTTTATCTTTAGTGCAGAAGCTTGATAGTGGGGAGATAAAGAGTGAGAAACTCTATTTTATTCTTTTTTAAAACTAAGGTTGAATTCCGGTACCATAGTTGGCTCTATTACCAAGTTTCTTTGTCTATAATACTACGGAGGGATGAAGAAGCAAGGACAGGTTCTCCTTTTGCCAGTGCTTGTGTTATTTATGTCCATCCTTCCTCCAGTAGATAATCCAGACTTACACTAGCATAAATAAAACATTCCTGTCAGGGGAGTGCTTCACCGAACACCTACAGAAGGTATAAAATAGAAGTAGATCTTAATTCTCAAATGTATTTAAGTATAAAATAATAGCTACTCATACATTACAGATTTTGATCCATGCAGTAATAAAAGCTCTATCCACTACTGAAGCAGCAATGGCATTTATATTCTACAAAAACTGGATATGAAGACTACAAAAAAAGTGCAAACCATCAGACTGGATGAAACCCCAAATGAACAGTTCATTTTCAGATGAATTAGGCTGTACCACAGATGCAACTGATGAGGAACAAGATGACTTACCTTATGATGGAGATGTAGGCATAACCTGTAAATACAATAATGATTCAGATAATTTGAAGGACTGTACTTGTACAAAATGTATTTCTGGTATTTTAAATTTAGCCTGTTCCAAAGATAACAAAACCATGAAAGCAACAGCAAATTATGAAACTCATCCACAGCCTGAAGAATTCTCCAATCAACACAGAAATGCCATAGGAACAACAGGAATTTCAGCCGAAATGCCTGAAAGTGAAGTTGCCTTTAAGAAGGAATTACCTGTTGCTAGTTTTAGTAACCTAGATATCAAAGAACATCCAACTCACTCAAAAATGTCTGATGTCCTTTTGCGTCACTTTCCTAAGGGAGAGTTAGTAAGCACGTGCCCTTTAATTGAATGCGAGACAATACCAGAGACATCCTTTACTGAAAGTATCGATGACACTGCAAACAAACCTGAGCCTCCAGAACATGTCAGATGGTCTTTAGTGCATGAACAATGGGCAACTAACTTTGAAGAATATCACTTAGAAAAGCACAAGGAAGTAAACATGAGTGATAAAAATCAACATCTGCTGAACAAAAACAGATGTGTTTCAAATAAACCTATTTATTTTACTGCTAAGTGTGGGTGCAGACAAGAAAATTCACAATTGATTAAGGAGAATGAAGATTCACACGTCTTTCAAAACATGAAAGAAGGGAGTGCCCTCTTACAGAAAACAGTTTCACCTCACAAGCTCAAATATGGCCAAGGTCAAGCTCACTACTGCCTTCCCGACTTCTCTGAAGTTGTTTCCGAAGTTGAACTACCAAAAATAAGTGACAATATTAACTCAGTTCCTCCAAGTGAAAGAGCAAAATCCTTCCCTATTTTAAGTAAGTCAGTAATTGTGAACAACATTATAGAAAATAAGCACTATCTCAATTCTGCTGAAGTAGAGAATCAAGAAGAAATGAGCATTCCAGAACTGTTGCAACAGCTAGAGGTAATTAAGATGCTTTAAGAAATTCTTAATACTTGGTGAAGAGTGGTTTACTGTAAAAAGTTATTCTGTGTCCAGTATAATTAACATGACTAGTTCATGCAGGCAGTCTACAGGTATGAGCAAGTATATCACTTGAGTGAGCAATTGCTTTCACAAATAAAACATTTATTACCAAATATTTAATGATGCTCTAGAGTATTATTTGTGATGATAAAGCATCCTATAAATCATTAGGAAATTCACTATAAACTATTTCTAGTATTATATGTAAATGTTCAAATTCACCAAAAGTACTTTAAAGTTTTTCTTAAAATTACTTTTTTATACTGTGCCTATGTTTATGTTAAAGGCATCTTTGCCTTTTCTTTCATCTTAACACTCTTCAACTATACCAGTATTTATTAATTTTGTTTGGTAACAGCATTTCCCTTATTGTAGTAAATTTCTTTTAAAGTTTGTAAGCAATTAGATAATCACTTCTCAGTTTCATTTCCAGAGTTCACTGACAGAGCTACACAGATGCTTAAGTCCCTTCCTAAATTCCTATCTTAGTAAATCATTCGAGATGTAACAAGTTCTAATGGTTTTCCCTATTATTTTCTGCCTGCAAACAAGATGCTGACACAGCATGCTGACATCCAGAATCATACTGACCATCTGAGATTAAATCCTAAGGTAAATCTCTCAAAACAAGTTTTATTTGCTTTTAATTCCTTCTCCTTTACCTTTAGGACTATGAATACTTCCAAAAACTCTTATCATCACCTCCATACTGTACTTCCCATCCGTACAAATCCTCTTTAGATTTTCACAACATACAGCTGAAGTATTGAAGTATTTATAAAATGACCACTATACATATATCAAACTATAAACACATAAAATTATATGGTATTGTTAAAATAAACATTAATAACTTGTCTTATGTATTGGTTTATTTCTGAGGTTTTTATGTCCACAAGTGTTCAATACATTGTTTCTATAACCAAAGTTCTCGCTTTAGCCGATACTTCCTCAGTCACATTTTCCAGACGCCAGCATTGCCATTTACTCGGGAGACATGGGGACATCCTCTGAAGTCTTTACATTACGTGCTCCTATCCCTATACAATCTATACAAGGTTTGTCTAACTAAAGTTACATTAACTAGGCAAATGACTATTTAATGTCATTTGATAGCACTTTTGGGCAGAAATTCCAATTGATTGATCTTATCTTGCATTATGTAGGTTTGCAGTGTGGAACAGCAGCATCAGCATTACCAGCAGCTGGTACAGAAGCAGCAAACTGCCTAAATCCATCTAATTTACTGCCAGAACTAACACTAGGAGAAAAGATGTCTCAAATACTAAAGGATCAGACAGATCAACTGATAAAGAAAGTAAAGAGCTCTGTTTTAATATATACTTCACACTGATGTTCAAATTCTGTATTTATTTGGCACATTCATTTTTAAAATCCCAAATGAAAGTCTAATGTTTTTGTCTTGAAGGTGGAAGACTTCTCTAAGCATATGGCTCAAGATACATTCCTTTTTCAAGATAACTATCTGGTAATTTTACATATTTTCAGTTATCTGAAATACACTTTAAATGGCTGTAGACTTATAATTTTATGGCAAGATACTCCATGTTTTCCTCAGAGAAAAATAATGTTTTTAAACATCTCAGACTGTAATTATAAGTTTAAGAGGCAAACCCAAAGGTGTTCAGTAGGTGGCTGAATTGTTAGATTTATTTTAAGGATTACAACTTAAAACTGTTAGTGAAAGACCTTATGTTGCCATTTAAGTTACGAATTTGAAATATAGGGTATCAGTTCAGAAGTCATGGTTTAATATTTCACTTGTACATAATACAGCAGTAGAGAATACTAGGTGGACATACAAGATGCAGTCCTGTTCCAATTCAGAGCAGTACCAAACCTGTTACCAACATCACTGCAAATAGCATCTGGCTTACATAGCAGAAGTAGTTATTACTACGGCTTGCTAAATCATAATGTTTGCTATTGAATTATTTCTCATTGGTGAAGGTGTTAAATCAATTGAAAAGATACCTTGATGCCTTGGAAAGGAATTATTTAACAGCTAGAAAAGAGCACCGTAATTTACAGCTGCAGAACTACAAGAACAAGTATATCAACGTTGGAGAATTTGATCCTGAAAGGTTAGAAGTGCTAAGTAGTACATCAGTCTGTTTTCTGTATTTTGAGAGTCTTACCACAATTACTTCATTTAAACTTAAGAATTTTTCTGAAGTGAAAACAGTGTTATAAGTGTAAGCTAGAAGTGATTTGGCCAAAATTCATCTTAGGCTTTATATATCCTAGCTGTAATTAGAATACCTAACTAATTCAAACACTTAAAAGGAACTCTGTAAACTCCATTAATTTTGTTGGTTTTTTTCTTATGGGAAGTATACTGCAATGCCCAATATGGTTATCCTAGTAAGAAATACAGTATCAGTTTATACAGGTTTCACTAACTGTGTTGCAATTGGGTTTAGAAAGGTGGAAGGGGAAATATTTAGACTTGGCATGTTGCTTGAAGACATCCAAGAAGAAACCGATGCCAGCAAATGCAACTTGTCTTCTTTGCGTACCTCCTATGAATCTGCTCATTCATCATACTCTCTTTGTGAGGTAACTCAGTGAGTTTCATTATTTAAAGATAATTATTCTGTTTTACAGATGCAAGTTTCAAGAACCTCGGTATGCTTGTACTACTGTATATTCTCCTCTAATAAGAGCAATTACATTCTTAGATAGCATCTTACTTCAGAGAAAATTTTTCATGAAGTATTAACTTCATAGTATTTCATTAATTATGAGAAGCCCAAGTATAAAAACACACAGCTACACTCAATATTCTTTATTTCAGAGTAATAAAATAGGAACACCTACTTTAACTTTTACAAAGCTGTCTTTGTTTTGGGGAATTAATCACTATCATTTAGTTGGAAGAAATATTACTGTCTGCGATTCTTAAACTGCAGAATTACTAGGAGACCAAACATTATTGTAGTATAGAAAATTGAGCATACTATTAAGTATGGTAACATTTTGTTCTGTATTGTAAATGCACCAAAAAAACCCACCTTACAGCCTTCTACAAATCTACAAGTATCACCAAATGCTTTCAATAGTTCATGCTTTAGAAAACATTTTTCTCTGAATCCCAAGTCAGAGACACTCAGAAAATGATGGCTGGTAGAACTCATGTACTTGCAGTGCAGTGACCACATATACACATGTCTATGCTATGGTTCCTTGTACAGAGCTCAGTAGTTTCAAGCATTGCTGATCCTCCAGAAAGAAGACATACTGAAACTGCGTTTCTTCACAAGAACAGTGAGGGAGAAAAGAGTCAGACAACTGATGTAACCCCACAGACAAATCAGTTTTCTTTAGAAGACAAGTACAATCTTTGTCTTAACATGTAAGTGAAAACTTTGAAACAGCTACTGAAGTTTTTGTAAAACTTGTCTAAAATTATTTGCTGAATATAGAAAATTGGGATGTCTGGAATTCAAAAGTAATGGAAATATTTCCAGAATAGTACTTTTACAGAATTCTATAACTACATACCCAATAATTCCTTACAGCCTAGCATTCCTACCTTTCTGGGTCTTATGGACCTCAAAGTATTTCCTGAAGTGAAAACACTACCATCATCAGTTTCACTAGGAGTTAAATCATACCTCTCTATGAAATTCATTGCAACCACACAAATTCAGGATGTGAATGACTAGTCAAAGTACACAGCCGGTAAAAAAATAAAACTTATTTGCCAACATCTGTGTAGTATTTTCACTTAAACAAGAAAAGGGAGGGATGCAGATATTTGCATAGTTAGCCATCAGAATTCTGTGAAACAATCTAGATACCATCTCTGTCCTCCTGGGGAATATTTCATACGTGTTAATCATCTCAGTGAGATTATAAAATTAAAATAAATGGTTCTCCTTAACCAATTAAGGTTACAAAAGAGAGCTGAATCAACTTCCAGAAGAGAAACAGAGCCTCTCGGAAAAGGAGGTCTGCTAACAAACAAGCATTCTTCCAACATGATGGTATGAGATTGGTTTTCATACTTTTTTTTTTTTTTTTAAAACTTAGATTTTATTTATCTTTGAGATCACACAACATTTTTCTCTTCAGTTTTTGCACAGCACGATGGCTCAGCTTTTAGATACTACAGCGTATCATAACATTGCTGAACTTGTTTCCAAAGGAAAAAAATTTAAGGACTCTTAAATTTTGAAAACTGTGATAAAGTTTGCTTCTCTCAGGAAAGACTTACCTGTGTTTACTAGCCTGCCTTTATTATTTGGTCAGAGAGCAAAAGTTTAAAAGCAATTGCTTGCTTACAAAAATATTTCATTTTAAGGCATTGAGATAAATTAATATATACTAATCCTTCTCAAAGCAATATGAAAGCCTGCCTTGAATTCCAACTTCAAAGAAATGCTCATATTTTGTCCAGTCTGCTCTAGTTAGAATTGTAAATAGATGAAGCAAATTGTAGAGTTGATGGCAACTGAAAGCAATACAGAAGTGATATGCAAATGATGCCACTGTTTACACTATTCTGTTTGATATATAATTGTTATAGATACACAGTAATATAAACACTCATATGTAAACTTGTTTTGCCTTCTGGGTGCAACAGGGATTCCTTTCATCTGAGGAAAAATATGCTGCTGAAGGTCTTGCATCCCGTAGTCAGGGTACCTTAAGTCAAAAATTTAATGTTGATGAAGAAAGTATGAAAGGGTAAGTGTATTATATATTTTGGCTAGTCATAGATGTGGTTTTCTACAGCTAGGTGAACAGATACATGCATATACACTGATATGTCTCTATATACTGGACTCTGCATGAAACACTGAATAACATCTTTAATATCTGCAAATGAGGAGGATCTGTTCTAAGGTTTATGACCAGTTATTCACATAGGTAAGCAACATACCAGATGACCAGAAAAGTAGCAAAACTCCCATCAGTTTTATTAAAGAGAGGCTTTATAATCATATCACAAAGTAGCCCATCTCACTGAACCAGTACAAGGTTTATGGTGCTTAAGTGGCACAGAGTTATTTTAATAGCGTATTAAGAGAAGAAACTTTGTCTTTGTTCTCTATTCAGCAATGCATGTCAGCATCCTAAACCAGGATGACTGCAAAGTGTTCAGCAATGAAAAATATTTTTGCCATGAACTAATCTGGTAGGCCTGGAAGGAGAGCATACTGATACATATGCATATATTTCAAGTATAAGGGTCAATCTGTAAAGTTTAATTTACAGATGTGTCAGCATGGTAAGTCTACATGGGTTATTTGGGAGTTTGAAATTTTGGCAAATTACGTTTATGTCCAAAGCTAGATCTTGTAATACATGCCATGTAGAACATAATAATATTAATCTAAATATGTTCTCAGGTTATTTCAGTGTAGAGGTTAATATTTATACAGTAAAACTGACATAGCTTCCATTTTTTTTCCCTCTTACTTAAATCACTTCAAGAAATTTAGCTGAATTTTCTGATCTTTATTTTCATGAATGGGCTGAAATTTTTCCACAAAAGTTTGATGATGCTGTATGCCCTAAGTTGAAAATACATGTGAAATAATGCAAACAAGGAAACTTATTTTTGCTCTGGCAGAACACATCTTAAATATTCCTCTAATTATCTAAAGGCAGTAAAATTAAAGCCTTAATAGCTCAAAGTTTTATCAAGAAACTGCATCATCCTTACCACTAATAATATTTTGATGCAACATATGTTAACACATACAAATACATAGGATTTCATACTACTTTGCTATTCAAAGATGTGATTATCAAAACCTCTACTTCTAAGCATTTTTAACAGCTCTGGTAAGTCAGGGTCCTTTTTTCAGAACATGTCCTTCAACTGAAGGGGTCATTATTTCACAATTGGGTTATTTTTTAGTTTAAGCTTCTACTTACCACGTTTTTGGATAGTTGATACAGGTAGAGTTCTTTCTATGAATAAATGTGATTTCTCCTCAACTAAGAAGTGGTCAGACATTAATGTAATATGCTTATAAAGCTCATCATAAAGTTATTAAGATACAATTGAAATATCACTTTGTTTTCATGCTCAGAGATACAAGCAGTCAGGAAAGGAACACTGGAACGTCTTCACTCTTCATTCAGAGAAAACCAACTGATTTATCAGACACCAACCACAGTAAGTAGTGATAGCATACAAAGGTCAGAACTATGCTAATACCTACTACTGAATCCTGTTAAGAACTACATTCCTGTCACATCTCAGCAGCATGAAGATTGTTTTGCAGTTTTAACAGATGTTAGCACAGAGCAAGACCCTAAGAATAAAGAGACTATGAAGAGGACGTGAAGTCAAATTTACTGTGGAAGTCTCAGTGACAGACCAAGAGGCAACAGAACATCTAGTTAGATATGAACTCAAGTTTTAACTCAGGATCTAATCAAATATTGAAACATTGTTTCGGAGTTATCATCCTCGGAGATACTCAAAAATGAACTGGACAGGGTCCTCAACAACTTCATCTAAGTTGGTCCTGCTTTGAGAAGGGATTGGGCCAGATGATCTCCCAAAGTCCTATCCAACCTGAATTACTCTACAATTCTAACTCAGCTTCTTAGATAAGTTTACAAATATTGTTACTACTATTACCATTTTCAAAAGCATAACAGTGGTGTGCACACCATGCTTTGATTTTGCTTTATCTTCTTATCATGTGCATTTATTTCATGTCCTAGAAGGAGACTCCAAACTCAGTGACTGAAACATTTCATATCAGTACTTCCACTTTTAGTTTTTGGATTCAACTTTTTTTCTTTTGTTTTCATGCAGAATAAGAAAGTTCTCCTAAATCTGACCCATTCTGGGTTGACAAAGACTGGAAATATTCTCCTTCCTTAGTCCAGCTCCTAGGAATATAATTTTACCAAATCCAAACTAGAGTCCACACAGGCTACTGTGAGGTAATGAAGTCAGCTGTCAAGTCATCCAAGACTCCACCTCTTAGAAGTTCACTAGAATCTAATCAGTATCTGTTTTTCTTAGGGCATCCCAATTTTATCTTTCCACTGCACAATACTTTGAAGCTGTTAGTACCCAACAACTAAAAAAGAATAGCATGAGATATCCTAATATTCAGCTTTATGTCTGAATATGTAGGTTATTACCTTTGGTTTATCTTTTGTTCTTGGCTTCTCTCTGATATCCTTTCACTGTAATATAATACAGTCAGGCCATTATTGTTAGTACTGGTTTACACAATAGCTAAAGCAGTGCCGTACTAGATGCTCCCAAACTCATCTGTCACATTCTTCTAAGGCTGCATTGTTTTCCTAACACTTCAACTTGTAAGAATTTTAACCTTCAATACAAGAACCTAAGGACAGGGAAACGGAGAGCTTAATTTTTTTAAGAAAAACAATTCTGAGACTGGAAACAACCACCACCAAAAAAAAAAAAAAATTTTAAAAAAAAACATCTACATTTGAGATTTACAGTCAGGGCTGAAAGCCAATCTTTAAAGTTCAATCCCCACCTGTAAAAAGGAAAAAAAAAAAAGCACTTCAAATTGCAGTACTGTTAATGGCAGCAAAGAGCTCAGAAATTACAGTACTGAAAGCCAAATAATCACCTAGGTACACAGGCCAGAATTTCTATCAGAATCTTTCAGTCCTTTCTAATATATTTTTGGGATTTTAGGCAGCGATTCAGAAGACATCTCAGCCTATGATTCTTATGACGATTTGCAAAGCAAGGAACTTGTGAACTCTAAGACTGAATGTTACAAAACATTCAACACAAGATTATGTGGAGAGAGAAAAGGTATAGTGATTGCAAAACGTTAAAATCCACACAAAAATATTGTTTAGTGTTTACTTTTCTAAACAACACATCTTTGTTTTCAGGACTTCGATGCAGATGCCCTAGAGGAAGCAGAGATCAATGTAAACCCAGAAATCACAAAGAGTGTCTTCAGCCTTGTGCCCTATGTAGAAATAAAAGGTCTGGTTCATCCTGTAAGTATGATTTGTTATGAAATAATAACCAATCACAGGCTAGATTTTAAGGGGCAGAAAGCCACACTGCACATGAGGCCAAATTTAAGTTTACGTAATCAATAGCACTGTAGCTAAACAGTGGATGTGTACAGATCTTGCAGAGCAAGACTAGTAAATCCAACTTTTAGACACCTAGCCAAGTTTAATCCCCATGCATGACAGCTTTAACCTTCTGTTTCTTTGTGAGAAGGGTCCCTTCCATACTTTATTTATGACAGGAATATCTTATTTTGCAGTGCTACAAGGAAGAATATTAAAATTGGGAATTACTGTGACAACTTTTTCAGTGCTGTTACCAAATGTGTAACAAGTACTAAAGAAAATTCCAGCTTTACACTCAAATTGTGTGACATGCAGCAACGTCAAGGAAAGCCTAATTTAAAAAAAAAAAAAAAAAAAGTGTTGAACATCTAGCTTTTAAAGTCACTTATCTCAGACTCGTCTATACTAGAGAAGAAATCAGCTACTTCTATATATAGTTATAAATAGCTATATATATAGCTAAATTAGCTACTTATCTATATAAATAACTATGAAACTATAAATCAAAGTAGCATTCATGTAATTATTAGGATTATGAGAATCTGATTATTCTACACTTTCTTCCTGCAGTCCTTCATTTTATGAAATGGACTATAAATCTGCCTACTATTTGGCACAAAACTAAGTTCAACAGCAAACCCAAAAAGGTTAATCTGTCCTCATTTACCACAAAAAAAAAAATCTTTAAAAATATTCAAATTTTATTCAGCAGTGATACTTACCTGATTTTTTAAATTTATACTAAATAAAGTATTAAATACATTAAAAATTTACTTTGTTTGTTTTAAACATGGCCTCAACAACTACAGCTTATTCACAGAAGAGAATCTCCACTCAGAAACCTCAAAGAAATAAAGAGCCACATGAACTTGTAAACAGACTTTCTGAAAGGTAATATGTAGCAATAACAATATGCAGTACAACCAAAAAAGCCCTTGTTGAAGATTCAGCATAGAAAAGAAACTCACCAATATCATAAGCAGGAGGAACATCTTCTCTTTTGCACTGTGTTGTACATTAGAATTTTACTTGTTAGTGAAATTAAAATATTTGCCCAGAGCAAGTGTAAATAATTCTTAGAGTAGTTCTTCAATCTTTCTAATTTAATGAAGAGTAAACATCTGACTTCTTCAGCTGACACATTCAGTAGTAAAAAAATAACTCACTTTATTAAGAGGATGTTCCCAATCACAGATTCAAAAGCATGTCTGTATTATTTAAGATGTAATTCTGCTTGCTACCGACTATTTCTCTATAAGTAACGGTTCTATTGCTAACCGATGCTAACATTAAATTACACTGAAAGCCTGAGAAGTAAAGCAATTTCTTAACTGCAGCACAGACTAGACAAACTCAGACAAGTTCTACTACCGTATTTTTTTAGAGCATTACTCAATAGCAGTAATTGCCTGGAAGTACTGCAGCTGCACTCGATAATCAATGGCATAGACCACTCTGTGAGAGAAAGTTACAACACCAAGAACGTGATACTATTATGAGAGATTTCCTGACTCTGCCTCCTGGAATGTTGTCTGGCTTACTGCAATAGAGATGTAACACAAATTATAATAGACTGTGTTTTACAATTAAATGAAAACATTCTACCCCCTGTAAAATTAACTTGCAACTGAGTATGCTATCAAGGTGTATGCATTTAACTCCTAATGTAAAAATTATTTTGCTTACTAAAATTTTTTTTTATTCCATACATCTTATCTTTAGGCAAAACTCTGAGGCTGCCAAAACCTGCTATTCAAGCCCGTATGATAAAATTACCCTTTCACGTCAATACTTACCCAGCAAGAAGTCTGCCCAAAGAAAATCTGCAATCAACACCAGAAACAGAAATACTAATGATTCCAATGCAAATGTAAGGCTTGAGTGAAAATTAACAGCCACGCAACTATCTTGAGAAGAGTACGCCCCCATATCATGGCACTGCTGAACATCCCATTCTTAGCAAGTTATTACAATCTAAGCCAGTCTAGTCCATTAGAAGATAAGACAGGAGAGAGTTAAATACTAAGTACTTCAGCTTATATATTAGTATATTTCTTCCTACCAGTATGTTACAGACTTTTTATGAAACTTTGTCCTTGTATAAACTGTGAAAGGCACAAAGAAAAAAAAAAGAGCACTGGATCTTACCTCTGGAATTGTTTCATATACTGAAACTGCCACCCTAGCCTTACAAATTACTATCAAAACCAAAAAAAACCCTTCTGAATACAGCAAACATGCACCACACCAGGGCTGCCACTTTAGAAAGGCATAAATATCCCTCAGTTCAAAGGATTACACAATTGAAGAGAAAAACAAATACCTCTAACTTGAATCCTGGAACAGTCTATCCCATGACTCAGAATTTTTACTTCTCAACACGTATTCTGAGTTAAAATGCTACATAAAACCTTAATTAAACATCGCTTTCTATTCTGTACCTACATAAACATTTGCCTTCAGTATTAACAAGGCTCTATATTATTATTCCCAACAGATTTTAAGTTCTACTCTGGATCATGCCATACAGACAGCAAACAGTTTGAAGAAAGCTACAGAACGAATGGTACGAGCTGTTTCAGAAGATCTAGCTAAAGTTAAAAGAAAACAGCTTTAACTACCTAGTTTCAAATGCTGTATTGTTTTGCTGGTTGACACTGAAGTGTCAGTATCTCTGGAAATAAAAAGTGATTGAATACAAAGACCAGAAGTCAGCTAGCTGCTGCCTTGGCCAGCTGTTCTGTAACTATCAGTACTAAACCAAACCAGAGCATATTGGAATTCCACATGTTTACATGCTCAGTCTCAGAACTGGAAAACAAATTACTAATTCGATTGTCACGTCTTTAGTATGTTGGCTAACCCCTGTTATTATGCACAGCTACCATCTCTAAGCATTTGCTTAGGACAGCTGAATAAAACCTGGCTTAAACAAGCCAAATTAACTTTCTGATTTTTGATTTCCCCCCACCCCCAAATAGAATAAATCTCAGTCACTCCCTACATGTATTTACTTCCCACACCTTAACAGCAGCTGCTTAAGCATGCCCAAGGGAAACAGCCTCTGCACCCAAGACATCTTTTAAATATCACGCTAACATACTAAGTCATAGTTAACATTTGTAATTATTTTTGGAGTGCCCTACATTGAGAGTTGTTATTAAGATACTTCCTTGCATGTCTCAGTAACTAAGTAATACCATTTGTTGTCTCTGTATCCCTAACAATTAAATTTTCTGTTTCTTCAATGTGGTATCCTTGCCTCATCAGACATATCTGGCTTTGAGATTTTAACTGATGGTAAGCAGGCTGAAAAATTTTAAAATATTGCAGAAGTACAGTGGGCTGAGTAAAGTCATGTATTATTTTCCTTCTGAAATCCATTTAACTGCAGTGATTAAGAGCAAGCAGTTAACAGCCGTGTATTATCAAGGTTACTATTGACTGAAGCAACTCCAAAGCATATAGGGACTGATGGAAATCAAGTTAGAAGTGACAGTTCATTGCTTAAAAAGGACAGTCATTTTCAGGCAAACCTAAGTTGTTTCAGCAGTTGATGGATACAGAGATAATCCAGACTCTACTCACAGAAGCAGCGATAGCTAAACTTGCTGCGTACCACTGATTTACTAGCCTGAGTCAATGGCGTCTTTTGGGGTTTCTTCCACACAATACCATCAACCAATACCAATTCAACAATACCATCAACCTTTCTTGTCTCCCTTAGGCTCTTACAGTATATTCTTATAACTTGAATTGCCTCTGCTTATTTTCCCCAATTTTGCTTTATTTAACTTAAGACAACAGCACAGGATAGTGAAAGGCTCATACCCCCTGTGCTAGATTAATGTTTGGAACGTCCCTGTTATTACCTTGCAAATGAAATTAATAGTTGAACTAATAGCTGTAGGCTTCCTAGATCCAATAAAAGATTAATCTCTTCTGTAGACATCTTTCCACACCACAAGAACAGCTAGACCTTTTGCTTATCCTGGGTCACTGTCTGAACCTGCTGTCCTGGGCCTGAGAGCAAATGCTAAGAACAAACCTATTTAGTAAGATAAGGATGTAATGACATTCCCTTAGAACATTCTCTGGCAAACTGAAAGCTCAGAGTCCTTCCAAACCAGCAGTAATATCTTCATATTTAATAGCCCTATAAAGATTTTCTTCCTCATGTATGTTGAGGTTTCCACCCCACCCCACCCCCCATATAACAAAGTAAAGTATGTCATTACTGAACTATGTCTCAGATGCTAAATGTCCTTTTGTTTTAAATTTGACAGTTATAAGTTTCACGTGTTACTTCACACACTGAAAAGGAAGGTAGTGTGTTGGTCTCTTCAGTCTGCACAATAACAGTAGTTTTTCAAGGCTTCCATTGCATACTCCTCCATCGCCTTTTTTCCCCTTGATCAAGGATTTTATTCTAGCCATTCTTGACATTGAAAGCCTTCCATACCTTTGATTTTCCTCTCAGTTCTCTCTGAATGATGTTCAGAATTTTGAGATTCAACTTATTTAAGTTGCACTCGAAAATATATCTTTAGTATCTCAGGTAATCAGACCAACATCTGTGCTTATGTCAATCTAGGCCTACATGTAAGGGCTAGATATGTATTTTAGGATATATAATATGAAAACAGGAACTTTTAAAGTTATAATACACCTTGTAAATGTACTCTAAAATTAGCTTAGGGGGAAAATGTTTATCTTAATATAACTCTTACCCATTCTTGATCTTGATAAAACAATTCTTCATCTAGGAAAAGAGTGTCCAAGAAGATCCTCAGAAAAAAAAAAAACCTAAACATCTTCACAAGAATTATTACACACACATATGCACACCCCCTCCACTTCCTTCACAAACTCCTGTAAGAAACCAGAAGCTGTTTCGGGCTACATATTGCCATTGGTTTTCTTGTCTTAAAACATCTCTATTAATCACCTTTACGGTAATGTTTGGCTTTGCCTTCTGGGAGAAGTGGGTGATGGATTAGAAAACTCAAAAGTCTTAACCTTGTATTTATCAGCTATCAAACTCTGAGTTACTGATTGCACTTAAGAGTTCTTCCAAATGTCTGATTTAGGCTTAAGTGCTGAATATGCAGAAGCAATCCAACATTTCAAGCTGGTATTTCTTCGGTTCTACATAACAAGTAAACATCAATACCATGAATTTTATATACTACTGAAATAAACTATTTCAGTCCTTAAGAAGGACACTTAGATATCAGTTATTCTGTTCTTTATTTATTTAGTTAGTTATTGCTTAAAAATTCTAGGATTAGGAAAAAAATTGCAATTACATATGGCTTTTACACCTAACTTTGGTTCTTCTTGCCCAAGTACAATGACTATATATAAGCATATCTGTTCAATACTGATTTCAAAGTGTGCATCTTTAAGAAAATGGTGAACACTGCATTTCTTCAATACATGCTTTTACTCTGGATTTTTACTGTGATTATTTACAGTTAGCAAGTAGACTTCAGAAAAGCTATAGATATTTCTAACTGATTTTTTTAAAAAATTTTTCATGCACATTTGATGAAACAGTTACTGAAAAAAGGTGTTGTTCCTGTATTCCTATTGAAAATAAAGTCAGCATATATTAGGTGCATAACTCATGCAGGTGCATTTGAAAGCTACAGCCATTTATCCTTATCATGCCCTTGTCCTGCAACATTTTAAAATAAACAAACTCTCATTTCAAGGCACATAAATACAACATCATTTTAAAAGGTTAGTAATTTTAATTGCTTAAGTAACATTTTAAGACAAATCTAAATGTTACCAATATTACAAAATTAATACAATTTAGAATTTATTTGATCCCCTTCAACAAAAATTTATGTATTGCTTTCTTAATATAGAACAAAGTAGAACAGTAAATTCTCCTGAATGCATCAGGTTTTGTTTGCTGTTTGCTTTTCTTTTTTAAATTACCAAGTCATCTGACAAATTCAACTGCTCCCCTTCTTTTCCTCTCCTCTTCCCCTAGCCCCACTCCTTCAAAAAGAGGATTTATGCTTAAGATTTTGGTACCTCTACATTGTAGGCAATTTAACTTCTAAAACAGACTAAGGAGACACAATCATAAGCAAGTTTGTAAGAAATTAAGTTTTTTTGAAAAGCTTTAGTAATAATCTCTATATATACTTAAATATAAAGTGTACTTCAGTGCACAGGTGCAGCATTTCTCCAGTTATATATTCAAATTAGAACTGCTTAGCACTTACGTGATTAACTTTCTACCTTACCCACCACCATCTAAAAAAATTTTTTCACAATTACGTGTATTTAAAGAATTTTCAGTGAGTTATTTTACAGAAAATTATTTTAAGACACTGCACTAGTATGAAATATTTTTACCATAAACCCATATTTACAAATTTTCTCCTGAAGCATCTAAGAACCTAGGCCCTTTTTAATCCAGTCATTTTTAGAAATAAACTCTATTATAGAAAGGTTTCACAGTTCTCAAAGACAATTCCAGTGTATATATAATGACAATAATTTTTAGCATAATTTGTTAGGAATTAACATATCCTTCTGAAAAAGCACTTACAGTGTGACACTGTCTATACTAAATACAACCTAAGAAACACACATGTTGATTTTTTTTCCTCTCTCTGCCTTACACTTCCTCAAAAAAGCAGCAAATATCAATTGTAAAAATGACATTCCATTAGTCAGAACCATGCATTGTCCTGGTACAGTATTTAGACAAGTCAGTTCCATAAGGGCATGTACATACTATTTGTCTTTTCCCAGTGCATCATAAACATCACCATTTCTATTCATCCTTATTGCAGACCATATCCTTTGGTTTACTAAGGCTCTTCACTTCATCCAGTAGTCTTTTAGGTGTCAAAATATGAGTAGAACCTGACAAAAGAACATAGGTAACTATCAGTCTGAAATTCTGACTTTTAGGCATACCCTCATTATAAAAAAGTTACATGCCAGTGTTTTTTACTGTACCTGGAAACTGAAAACTACAACAGTTCAAAGTGTTTTCATGTGTCATCATATAAAGTGTCACCATATATGTAACTGTTAGGTAGGCTGTGTCCCTCTTCCTCACACTGAGACATCCAGACATCTAGATTAGGACTCTTACTTTGGATACAAGATTTCAAGTCCCTGCTCTGTCCTGTTTGAAACACAGACTTGAACCTGGGCCTCTTTCACTGTATCCCAGTCTGGAAAAAATCTGCCCATTCCATGAAAGGGCACATTAATGACAGGCTTTATCCTAGAATCAAGAAACCATCTGTATTAAAGATAATCACAAATAGTAGTTCTCCACAGAAATATCAGTTACAGAAAATCGGCTTTTATTGACTAATATTTCCTTGAAAAATTTGCAACAAATTCCAAGTCTGGAGCAAGAAAATTATTCAGGAGCACACAACTACCTCTCTTCTCATAATAGAGTAATTACGATTTCTGCCATGAAGGATCACCCTACAGTTATATAGAGAACTCAACCGTTTAAGATTAGGGCTGTCTTGGGCCATTAGTTTTAGTAGTGTCAATCTCAATGGACTAACATCCCTCAAGTTCTGAAGCAGGAATACAGGAAGATTTTCATCTTGCAGTAAGCCACATTGAATCTGAGAGTTATCACCTTCCCTCAGAAATCAGGATTACAAACAAAATTACAAGAATCATCTTTAAACAAGACGGAAGATGGCACTGTGGTTGTGCCA